ATTCCCCTGGCTTAGGCCCGACCCGACCTCCAAAGTCATAAGACCTGGGGCTCGCGGGGTGGCGCTAACGACGAGGCGCCATCCCGACCAGGCAGGGCGACGGGGCGGGCGGGCAAGGCTCACGACACGCGACAGATCGCCCAGTCATTCATTCGGCTGTTACAATTGGGGCGGCACTGTTACACCAGCCGGCCGAGCCGGGCGGGTCCCGGCCGGGGGCCCTAGCTGTCGCTCGGGGGAGGCTCCTGCGGCTCCTCCGCGCGGGCCTCCGTGTCCTCGGTCACGCTGGGTAGGCGGCTGGGTTCCGGTTCCGGTTCTACTGGAGCCTCGGCTGCGGGCTCCGCTGTCGCGGCCGAACTCGGCTGAGTCAAAGAAATTAATCGATAATAAGGGGTGCGTTTGGGCGGGCGGATTCTCGGACGCAGCCTCCCTTTTACCTGGGCAGGGGCGGTGGGGCTGTCCGGCGACTTTCCAGTGATTTCACAGACGAAGAACTGGCAGGCGTCGCGGAACCGTCTCTCAAACACCTCATACTCCTTGTTCATCACGTTGTCCTCTATGTTGAAATCTGCCGGCATCAAGGGGTACTTGCGCCCCGCGTCCTCCATGTCCGGGTAGCGCTCGATGGCGAGCAGGTGGCCGTACTCGCCCACGGGGTCCTGGAGGTTTGGGAGGTTTAGTTAGCGGATACCCACCAGAGTCAATGTTTTGGGCCCGCAACCAGATTACCTCTGTGTCCATCTCCAACATGATCATGCGGAGGCAAGCTTCCAGGGAGTTCGGCTTGAGCTCGACTGGGCCCATCTCTACCCCGTCAAGGTCCATGTCCTCGTCGTCGCCGAGGTCGTAGTTCAGAAGGTCCAGCCTCCACCGACAGGTGTCCTCCCACTCGCTCTTGTAGGGGTCCTGCTCGTCCTCCACCTCATCCTCGGCCCCTCCCGCATCGGTGTCCGTGTCGCTGCGGAGCGCCAGGTCCGAGAGCGTCTGCCCCAGGCCCACCGAGAACCTGACCAGGAGACCCATCAGAAAATCT